GTAAACAATGGCTTTCTTATTTTTTATTATTTTTTGTTCTGGCCTTTGTTTTTTTTTTTACAGTCAATATGATAATTCTTAAAATTAAACAAACAATAGTCAATATGCAAAAAATACAGTAGTGAAAATTTAATATGAATTACTGTCTCATTTAACAGCCAAAACATGTGTTTGTCTAAAATTTATATTGCTAAGTTAAGGTACGTTCACACAATGCAATTAAAAAAAAAACTTTACAAAATTAGCGTTACTGTATGTAAACAATGGCTTTCTTATTTTTTATTAATTTTTGTTCTGGCCTTTTTTTTTTAAATATGAATTACTGTCTCATTTAACAGCCAAAACATGTGTTTGTCTATAATCCATATACCCTTTGGTTATTATCAGCCTAAAATATTAACATGGCTATTTTGGCATTATTTTTTATTCAGACATGTTGATAGGGCACTACATTTTACAAAGTTATGGTTAGTAAACAATGCAGATTTGACAATATTTACAAACTTTTATTACTGTATATAAACAATGGGCTTATGTTTTTTAATTGTTGTAATGGCCTTTTCTTTTGTTATTCTTTTTTAAAAATCATATGTTTCATTAATAGTTTAAAATTTAGTCTGTTGTTGTCATTTATTTTATTCGCTTGCCATTTCTGTATATTTTGTTTGTGGTAGTTCTATTATGCTGCTTTCTTTTTGTCGACGCAGATATTAGGCTAGGGAAAAAAATAGTTGAGCATTCTAAAGATTGACCTGTTTGACATGTTTTGCCATTAGTTTTTTTAGCCTTATTTTTTTTCTGCTGAAATGTTGAGAGAGAAATTTGTTTTAGTTACCAAGTTATGGTTAGTGAACAATGTAGTTTTGATATTTACAAACTTAAAAATTTCTACTAGATAATCAGTTTTGTTCTGTAACTTATTATGATACTTTGGATTTGTTTTGGGTCTGCACTGTTTTCCTTAAAAGCTTTTTTTTATATATATATACAAAAATATTTTTGGTACTGATTGTGCTATTTCTGTTTTTTTAGGACATATTTTCAAATTGAATCATCCCATTTGATATGCCTCGCAAAAGATCTGCAATTGGAGTAAGAACTCCTGCAGCTCGACGCATGGCTGCCCGAGCTGCTAGAGGCCAAAGTAGCCGCACATTGGAGAATCCCCAACAGTCTCAAGCCCGCCTCCAAGGTCAGTCCCTCAAAATTGCTGGCATTGACTTGGAGCAACCCTGTTTCTCGCATGGGCAATTGTATGTTGCCTGCTCTAGAGTTGGCTCAGGAAGAAATCTTTATGTTTTGGCTCCAGAAAATAAGACTTCAAATTTTGTGTATTCTTCTGTGTTGTCATAATTTTTTTATGCTATTTTAGTCTTTTTTGTTGTTGTTGTTTGAGTGGTATATTATTTTCATAATTCTTTCTATATACGTATATATTTGATGACAAAATATTGACGCACCCCGCCTTTGCAATGGTACCCGTCTCTGCGTTAAAAGATTGTGGCCTCATGTTGTAGAGGCAACCATTTTGACTGGTTGTTTTCAAAATGAAGAGGTTTTTATTTCTCGGATTCCTCTGATTCATGATGATAAACATTCTCCTTTGCATTTTAAAAGATTGCAGTTCCCCATTCGAGTTTCTTTTGCCATGTCGATTAACAATGCTCAAGGTTAGTCCCTCAAAATTGCTGGCATTGACTTGGAGCAACCCTGTTTCTCGCATGGGCAATTGTATGTTGCCTGCTCTAGAGTTGGCTCAGGAAGAAATCTTTATGTTTTGGCTCCAGAAAATAAGACTTCAAATTTTGTGTATTCTTCTGTGTTGTCATGAATATATATATTTTATAATGCTATTTTAGTCTTTTTTTGTTGTTGTTGTTTGAGTGGTATATTATTTTCATAATTCTTTCTATATACGTATATATTTGATGACAAAATATTAATGCACCCCTCCTTTGCAATGGTACCCGTCTCTGTGTTAAAAGATTGTGGCCTCATGTGGTAGAGGCAACCATTTTGACTGGTTGTTTTCAAAATGAAGAGGTTTTTATTCCCCGGATTCCTCTGATTCATGATGATAAACATTCTCCTTTGCATTTTAAAAGATTGCAGTTCCCCATTCGAGTTTCTTTTGCCATGTCGATTAACAAGGCTCAAGGTCAGTCCCTCAAAATTGCTGGCATTGACTTGGAGCAACCCTGTTTCTCGCATGGGCAATTGTATGTTGCCTGCTCTAGAGTTGGCTCAGGAAGAAATCTTTATGTTTTGGCTCCAGAAAATAATTCTCTAGTCACTCTGATATATGCCTTAATCAGTCCATACGGTGTCTCTTTTATTCTCCCCTTATTGGCTATCTACTCTTTTTTAGCGCCAAAAGTGACGCATGCGCAGTTCATTTATTTTTTAGCGCCGTTGCATACGCAGAAGCTATATAAAATTTGATTGTCATCTATCGATAAAATTAGTGACAAATAAACTTACTGGTAATGTGTGTGTGTGTGTTACTGTAAATAATATCATCAAATAATATCTCTACATACCTCTTACACTGCAATGATGTAAAGTTAATGAATCAGAGGGCTTGGCCTATCAGTAGTGAACCCCTCTCAGCGGTTTCGCCAAATTGATCTCTAGACCGCTCTACTATTGTATTGGATTGGGATATATACCCTGTATTTTCTATGGAAGATAACTTAGGAGTAAAACAAGACTTGAAGTTTCACCGCATGAGTTTCTTTTCAATGAAAAATCAAAATTTATTTCAAGGTAAAATATTGACTATTTCTAACCTTTTTAGATGAGGTATGAAAGGGTGAATTATGAAGAGGAATGATGAACGGATAAATAAAAGTGTCCAGGGATGGGAATCGAACCCACAATGTTCCGAATACCGGGCAGATGCCATGTCCACTAGGCTACCCTGGACGTATTTCTCCGTTCATAAATAATACATAAAGTAACTTATAATACAATATAATATACTGCGGTTTGTGATTGTAAAACAACACTTGAAGTTAGGAGTGTTTAGTGAACCTATGGACATAAGCTTAGAGGTATGTAGAGGTACATACATCTAAGTGTATTGTTCTTGTATAAAATAATAAAATTTGGTTGTTTTCTTGATATCTTTTTAAGATGAATATTTTTTTTGTTTTGATAATATGTTGAGTGGAGACTTTTTTAAGACTTGTTTAGAATTTCAGTTAAGAATATTCTCGAATTTCTTTGTAGCAAATGCGACCAGGCTATACTAGTTCTTTATATGTATAACTAATATCTTTGTAAAAAAAATAAGACAACGAAATTTAAAGAGGTGACATTTTAACGACCTTTTTTTACTCATCCATAAATTTCTCCGGAAGAGCCGCTAAATTGAATTAGATTAAAATTTATTTTGTAGGAAAATAAAAGTCACGGAATAAGTATATAGATAAACAAACTTTTTTTTTCTAAACAGAAAACTAAACTTTGAAGAAAAATCAGAATTTCTTGAGGGCAAAACCTAGAAATAACTTACTTTGAACCTTCTACCGTGTATTTTGACAACTTTGTGTGAGGGAAGATTTCTCTCCCTTGTGTTTCTACCGTGTATTTTGAAAACTTTGTGTGAGGGAAGATTTCTCTCCCTTGTGTTTCTCCCGTGTTTTTTGACAACTTTGTGTGAGGGAAGATTTCTCTCCCTTGTGTTTCTACCGTGTATTTTGACAACTTTGTGTGAGGGAAGATTTCTCTCCCTTGTGTTTCTACCGTGTATTTTGACAACTTTGCGTGAGGGAAGATTTCTCTCCCTTGTGTTTCTCCCGTGTTTTTTTGACAACTTTGTGTGAAGGAAGATTTCTCTCCCTTGTGTTTCTTCCGTGTATTTTGACAACTTTGTGTGAGGGAAGATTTCTCTCCCTTGTGTTTCTACCGTGTATTTTGACAACTTTGTGTGAGGGAAGATTTCTCTCCCTTGTGTTTCTCCCGTGTTTTTTGACAACTTTGTGTGAGGGAAGATTTCTCTCCCTTGTGTTTCTTCCGTGTATTTTGACAACTTTGTGTGAGGGAAGATTTCTCTCCCTTGTGTTTCTCTCGCCTGAATACAAGAAAATTCTGTGCGAATTTCTCAATATTGCCTTTGAGCATGTTAGGGACAAAAACTACACAATAAACAAGGTCCACACTCAGGGCGGATTGTAGCTCCTGATAATATCCAGACGTCACTTCAGTGAAGACTTCGTCTGATGTAAATATTTTTCATCTTTATTACAATACTGTATTTTAATTTTACTTGGTTATTTTGCTGTTGACTCGGAGTCAATAAAGTTTTCATAGTCATGGCTCCCTTGTGTTCAGTAATTCTGAATAAACAATACATGTAGCGAAACCCATAGGTAGAGAATAGAAACATTCAATGGAATTGCTCTTTTCAATAATAGGTGAATTGCTACAGCTATTCACTTTTATATGTGAAAGAAACATTCGTTCTATAATTCTTCCGTTTCTTATATATATATATATGTTATATTAAAATATTATTTTATTTAAAATTTTATTTCATAGATTCAAATACTCTGTTAAATCGACCGCCAGAGGTTACGCTTCCCCTATAAAATCTCATTGTTGTTGTTTCCCGATGGCCGGCTCACAACCTTTGTACATTATGTAAATAATATTTTGTTTTTCCTTGTTCTACTCGCTTTAAGCCAGGTAGTATCTTTATCAAATTATGTTTTTATATATCCCATAAGTTCAATTAAAGCAATTACTGATCAAAACTATTTTTATAATTATAGTTTCAAGATTTTAACCACGACTGAATTACCATAGCATAATCTTCAAGATAATTAAAACCAACAGAAATCTATTTTTATATATAATATATATGTATATATATATATGGCACGTTATCACCTTATAATTAATTGTGCCTGACTTGCCTTGTACTTATTGTTCGATACAAATATTTATAGGTAATTCTACTGTCCTAAAAGCCTATGTCCATAGTTTTCTTGAAAACATTTCTAAGATTCCACCCTTCAGTGTAGCTTATATTCGTATAAGCAAAATGGTCCAATACAGTATTAGAGCTCTAAGAAGCGGTTTGATAGATTAAATTGGTGAAACTGCTGGGAGAGTTCACCACTGATGAGTCAAGCCCTCCCAATATTTTTTCATCGCAGTAAGGACAGTAGAAGTTTTAAAATTACAAATATATTCTCACAATGAGTATCTTTTTATTTAAAAAACGTTAGCTTTCAAGCGTTTTTGTAAATATTTCTGGTGGGATAAAGTCGATATTATAGTAAGCCCGTTGAAGGGCGATTAACGCTTGAAAGCTAGCGTTTTTTAAATAAAAAAGATACTCATTGTGAGAATATATTTGTAATTTTAATACTTTTTTCACAATTTTATCATGAATACAGTAGAAGTTTGTTTCATAATTAAAAATAAACATCGGTGTTTTAATGCTTTCATTGCTTATATTGTATTCAGTGTCAATATATCTAACAAATATTAGCCGTTTAATGTAATAAATAAATAATGTTTCCAGAGCTAAGTTTCTTGTATAACTTTTTATTTTCTCAAGGTTTCAGACTTCCCATCCCTTCGACGACAGTCTTCTATACCAGACCTGTGGAAGAGTGGTTTAAAACGTTTATTTTCGACCGTTACTAACCGGAATCGGATCCCGCACACTTTGACCACTTTTTTTCTAAGTAAAAAATGCTCCAATGCGATCCCCGATTGTTGCAAAAGTCCATATTCACCAACGAGTGCAAATAACCAAACTGGTATTATGGCACACTTATAAGTTCAAAAGTTTAACTGCTTTTCATCTGTATAAACATGTATTGTACTTACAGTAAAAGCAGTCACTAACTACCCCGTACCATGATTATCATGACCTGTACATACTATGTGTATTAGATAATTTTTAAAAATTAATTTTTAAGAAGCAAAAAAGTTGAATGTTTTCATCCTCTATCTACTTCAATCGAATCCCGCATTTGTCACTATTTTCGAATTTTTTTAAAATGCTCCAATGGTCTCCGATTCTTGCAAAATTTCCAACTCCACCAGTGAATGCAAGTACCCAAAAGGAGTTCTAGAAAATTTGTGAGCACAAATGTCCAACTGCTTGTTAACTTTGTAGACATGTGGAGAACATACAGTAAAAGCAGTCAATTTTACCTACCATGATTATCATGGCTTGCACCACGTGTACTAGGAATAATTTTAAAAATCAATAAAAAAACAACGGTGAATGTTTTAATCATCTACCTACAGCATTTACCTAGAACTTGTAAAGTAAGTGGTGCGTATTAGCGACGTTTCAATTGGAGGTAATCACTTTAGGTTGTAGTAATCCAATTTGTGGAAGAGAACAAAGGGAAATGGTGATGTGTGTAAGGACACATAATTCTATTACGTTCTTGTTACCTGTGTGCAGGTAGTACATGTCATGATAATCATGGTGAGGTATATATATAGTATATATTCAAACAGAGCGTCTATTATACATCGACATTTAACAAAATACATATATATAATTCAAGTCATGATTATCATTGGGGAGACAATTAACATACTTTTATTGACATCTTATCAATACAATGTCAAAATACCAAATCCGCACAAATAAAGAAATTTACAATGATGATTATTAAAAAACAAACATTAAGCCTCCAGGGAAAGGTTTCTTTCCTACAAATCATCTATATATATATATATATATATATATATATATATAAATGAATGTATCTGTGTGTGTGTGTCTGTCCTTTATGCCTGACCAAACCACTCATTGGAACGCCATGAAACTTTGGGAAGTTATTTAGTATAATACTGGGAAGGTTTCTGAAAAATAATTTCTTGAATATCCTTAGAGTTATTTGCAAATTTGTAGATTTAACTCTCAAGCAGCGCCACCATTGCGACGATGATAACAAGGTTTTTTATCTATAAGGTTTATTATCACTAAGTTTATTATCTTAAAGATTATTTATCAAAAGTAAGATTATCTCAGGATGACACGGCAATTTATTTGAGACAAGAATAATGATACAATTACAGGGCAAAGATATTATTCCTTTAACTTCCAATTACCGAGGGAGCCAATTAATATTGATTTTATTCAATTTATCGAGTATTTTTCAAGGGACCGGGAAAAAATGTTCACTAGATAAAACGATGATTTAGTAATGTAGAAAATTAGGAAAGACAAAATTCAGGATGACACGGCACACAGGGACCGGGAAAAAATGTTCACTTTATCGAGAGATTCAAATTTACGAGTTTCAAATTATCAAAATATATTTTTTTTATAAGTTTATAGAGAATTGTTTTAACAAATGTTCGTTAGACAAACCTTTACTCGGGTAAAACCCGGGCGAAGCCGGCTACATCCGCTAGTGTATTTATAAATCTCTCTAGCTTTCGGGCAAGAAATCCCTTCTACAGGAGAAAATATTTACATTGAACCGTCAATAGAATAAGAATTAAATCAAATAAAATTCGTCAAGTGTTTACAGTTATTTGAATGCAGGATCAGCGCGGGCCTCCATTGCACGTGTTTATTGACTTTGCTATAGCAGAGACTTTGCTATATCTTCATTTACAATCAGGAACCTGGGTTATAAATATCCTCTCTCTCTCTTCATTTACAATAATCCTGCTCGGACTGACCCACCTCAATCCTAAATCTATGGCCAGACTCTAAGACTCAACCTCAGCATGGAACTTTCTGGCTAACTGGTTCAACTCAGCAATCAAAATAGGACGCGAGTAAAAGCTCACAACACTAATCCATACTGTAGAACGACATTTGAAAATTATCCCGCATATGTTTCTTTTGAACGAAAAATCGTAATTTTATTTTAAGGAGAAATAACGATTATTTCTAACCTCAGGGATGAAGTATGAAAGGATGAATTTTGAAGAGT